CGATGAACTGAAAATATTCATACAGGAATTCATTCATTACAAGTTATCTGATTCCAGAAAGTGACTCCTAATTGTAAGAAATACAAATAAAGCGTAGAGTGGAAACGTTTAGAAAAAATACACACTTTATAAGTTTGTTATAATGAAGGGCTGTGAAATTAATGCATACATACTTGGGTCAAATACTGCCGCTACTGAAAACAACTTAGGGTATTGCATCACTAGTTAAGGAAACGACAGGTAAAGTACATCTGTAATTGATTCTACACACTGCATCAATAAACCAGTTTTATGTTCGTGAGATAGTGGTGTCTACCATATCAGTAAAGAACATGTGAACAGCCTTGACGGATAAAAGAAACCCATGTGGAGTCCTTTCAAATGTAGGTCTTCTGTGTAGATGCTGTGGCGTATAGATCCGTTGCTAAGCGATGTCTCTGTAAACAGCACCCATTGCTTGGTAACGCCCGGAACACATAGGGACACAACTGTGTTTCTAGGCGATCCGTGCTGAGATGTTATAACCGGGAGGTTTGGAGCTTAGTTGACCAACCCTTATGGAGGCGGGTTCTAATACCTCCACCGTCACCCTGCGAAAAGGGGCGGCCCGCGTATAGGCACTGCGGAACTGCAGCGCCCCCAATTTCCACTTGATATTATCGATAACATTTATATAATGAGTCCTTTTTTCCTTTAATTCTTTCTTTATACTTGTACAATACAATATATAATCCTAAAGCTTAATGTCAGTAGCCAAATCTTTGTATGGGACCGTGTGTTTCACAGTTCCAGCGGCGAGGTGTTCGTTGACTGTGCGCATGCGCACATAGGAAGCTACACGCGAGGCTGCAAGGGCGAGGGAGCACTGCAGGAACGACAGTGCCGACCGGTGCCGACCCTGGCGTACTGGTGGAAGGTAGCTTTTTTTTTTTTTACTCCGCGTGTGTTGTGCTCAAAAAATATGAGTTAATTGTAGAATTAGATTATTATCCTGCTTCCAGCTATTCTATTTGATTCATTTTTTTCGGTTCTTTTATTTAACAGAAAACTTTAACCATGGCCTTGCATCCCCGAGAAATAAGTTCTGTGACTGTAAGTGAACTTCAACAGATTAAGTTTTCACAACTGTCTCTCCATGAGAAAGTTGCAGTTAAGAAGAGGTCGTTTAACACCTGATATTCTAATATCTCAGCCAGGCATAAGCAAGAACAAGAAATATATTCGTAGCTTTATTCTGAATGCTACAAACGGAAAAGTTGGCTTTGCGGCTGTGAAGTAAAAAATGCACTGTTTTGCTTCCCGTGTTTGCTGTTTGGGGGTGATGTAACGTGGACAAAAGATGGTTTTAGAAATATAAACAAAATGAAAGAAAAAACTGAAAAGCATGAGAAATCAAACACATTGATAATGCAGTTTCACTGTCACTTTTAGGAACCGTAAGTATTAAGGAGAAACTTAGTGAGGCATCAGACTTTCATCAATGAGCATAATATTGTGACATGTTGACCCCTACCTCCCCAGCTGCACGTAGCGGTAACGTAACGCTCGCGTAATAGGCGAGTAATCACCCCGCATCCTGGCAGCTATGCGCGGTGACGTCACGAGCGGAGCCGAAGAGAGCCGAGCGGAGCCGAAGATAGCCGAGCCCCCGCAACCTGGTAACTACGCAAGGCGAGTCAACAGCGGTGACGTAATAGGATGACGTGGCACTCATTACGCAACAGGCAAGCACTGCAGCTATATAAGTGAGCTGCACAGCAGCTACCAGTCAGTTTTACTGTAGCAGTTGGCGACTTCAGTTCTAGTGTGGCTACCGCAAAGTTGGAATGTGGGCAGTCGCCGAGTTATAAAGTAACAGCCAGCCGACTATAGTTGGAGTATAGCAGCCGTCGCGGAAAGAAGATCCGGACGTGTGTGTGATTGTGTAATTGGGAGTGTGTGATAGTGATACATAGCTCCCCTACTGTAAACGTGTAGACCACTGAAGACAGAGTGAGGTGATTTGCGCATAGGGTTATAAAGTGTGAAACCCCGCAACAGCGGTAACAGATTAATGCGATTAGGGTTATAAAGTGTGAAACCCCGCAACTGTGCGATAATTAATTGTAGTCGTTTCTTGTAGATTGTTGGATAAACCAATTAACGATCTCTACGGCGTATTCGGTAACGAAACACGTGATAATTTGGTGTCAGAATTTTTACGAACTTAAACACGCCTGACAAATAATTGGATTATTGTGCATCAAGTGTTCTACTGCTACAAAATGGAGAAACAAGATTTGCAGTTAACTGCCGCCCGCCTTATCCCGTAAATACGAGGGTAGGGACGCACCGCTACCAAGACAACACCGTGNCATCAGGATGAGAGGAGGAAAAACCATAAGAATTTCATGGCAAGATGGAAGGCTGACAGACAGGCCTGGCAGGAAGAGACGACAGCCTGCCGAGATACAATGGAGACAATTCCAAGCGAAAAACAGGATGTAGTGGGCACGGCACAAGAAAAAGAGGTCCCCATAGTGATACCGGTCGGAGTGACGATGGCCTGCCAAGAACGGGAGGCACGTCCAGAAGAAGAAGAGCCGACTTCAGCGAACAGGAAACCTGAGGCGGCAGAACTACTAGAGGTACCCGTACAAGACGCCGAAGTAATGCCGGTCGGAGAACCGAAGAAGAAAAGGCGCAGGGACCGACA